TTTTTTAGAATACACAAAAAACTATGAAAAATGGGTGAAAGGGTTTTGGTACTTTCACAAGTTCCATGAATAATCCTCCTTCAGCCCTTGTTACCAGAGCAGCACAATAAAGAGGCATAACATAAGTAGAGTGATGTTGATAATTATTTTAGCTGCAGATATCTTTGTGTATGTTATGCTTGCCTCCCATTTGATTATATTCTTTGTAGGTTTGATGAAAGATCAACTTTCAGTTGTCTGTTCAGTTGAAACAATGATATTAAAGGTTCGATTTGGTTGTTATTTCAACCAGCATACATGAATATTTGTGAGATGGAATATTGTTGATGTAGTATTTTATATTTGGAAACAGATGGGATGTGGACAGGTTGTCAAATGACAAATTCCACTTTGGCTTTTTCTGGATTTTGGAAATAGTTTGCAGTTATTTCTCAGTGCTTCAGATGTTGTAAGTCTCTCGTCTTAAGAGGCAATCCCTGTTGTGCTCTAACTTATGAAATTGATGGGAGAATCGCAATAAATGCAGCTTGGATAGAAAACACAGCTGGAAAAGCATGATGGTATTTTTCAAATCCAGGGCTTCCCCCCTTTTCATTGTCAGTGTCTGAGTTGGCGTCCTGCAGCTTCTGGCAGCACAGCCAATGCAAAGTTCCACTATTTCATTCAGAGCCGTAGTCTGAGCCAAGGATTTGTGCTAAGGGGGCACAGTACATATCCTTATCCAGACCAAAAAAACTCAATATTTTAAAGACTGGCGGTTTTAGGCAGTTATTTGGGATTTCCACTGTGAAGTAATAAAAAATATCAAAATAAATAGAAACAGAAGTGATGGAAATACAATTAACAAAATGACTTTAAATCTAAAACTCACCATTTTACATCCAAGTTATCTTGCACAGCTATTGTTTTCCATGTGCTGCAGCCAGCTTTCAGTTATAACTCTCACTCCTTGTCAAAGCTAATTTGTCTCAGTTCTTGGACTTATATTGCCACATCTGGTATGAAGTGACAATTTTTCTATCAGAGGCAAAAATTGAAAAAGTATGTTGTGTTTTTCATATTTTGTGCCAAATATTCCTGTGCAATACTACAAGAAGAAATAATGCAAGGAAAAGTCAAAATTAATGCATGGATGCAAAATATAACACAATTTACTCATGTGAGCTGTTCGTGTTGTTGTATATAGCAACCTGCTGTTTGGTATTCGTTAGTAAAAGTGCTAAATCTGGATAATGTATTAATAAACATATAACAACAGAAGATGCTTATCTTTAATAAATTCTCATGTCACGAAACAAAATCTCCAGAATGCCAACAAAATCAGCATTTCACCCAGTGGTGGATGATGGATAAATTTTTATACTCCTGTGGTGGAGCAGGGGTTCTTTGACTTTATGTTCAGAGGTATTCCTAGAATTGCTCATTTATAACCCTGAGTTTTTGTTTGACAGTAAGAAATACAGAAAAGGTCGCTGGATTTGATGCTGGATACTTTTTTGAAATAAAGTTGCTAGAGAGGTTTGAAAAGTTTCTAAAAATAGCGACACAAACGCCAAGTCTTGCAGATATTGGTAATAGCTAACTTAAGAAAGAATAGGGGCCCTCTAGTGGACAGCTGTGATATTACAACACTGAAAGAAGTTGTCTAAGTTGACATTTTCAACCATTTGAACGTGTTAAACGTACGTCATTTTTTTGTTGACATCCCTATTCCAAAAAATCAGTTGTGGTGATTAATCGGGTTGAAAAGGTGTAGAAAAACTGCACATGTCCATAAATACCTGTGTAATGCCATGTGTACTTGTGCAAGGAAAGCAGCCTTTGCATTGCTGGAGGACATCAGATGTGGAAGAATGAGGGCTGTGAATGTTCAGATATCCTGCTCGACCTGCCGGTACCGGATGACAGATGACTTATCATCTGCCCAACATCATTAAGGATTTGGTCTTGCCAGTTCAACCACAGTGCAACTGAAGATTTTTTAGAAGCCGATAATTGAAAGGTTGTTTTTTCTTAAGTCATCTTGAACCATAGCTCGAATGCCACATCTGTCTGATGCAGAGATTTAGTAAATTCCCTCAAAATATGCTTAAACAGGTCCATCAAATCACAATTTGAAAATTGTAGCAGATTTTAAAATGGTAGTTGTAACTGCACTCATACTTTTATAAGGCATAAACAGTAGATGTTTATTTTGCCTTTATAAAGGGAAGATATTTTTAGTGCAAAGCTATGCAGGTATTTGTGATGAGCATATGTGTCTCACAAATGTACTGCCACACTGGGCGGCTCAACTCATTCCTTTTTTCCCATTAAAAAGATAATAACAGTAACCATTCTACAAACAAAAGATAATAAAATAAAATATAACAATGCTCCTTAATTTGCTGCATATGTGCTGGCCTGCTGGTACAGAATGATAGATGGCTTATTGTCCAATGTCACTTTAGCTAGATATTGTTTTAGAAGCTGGGGTATCTCTACTGATCTATATAGAAGTTTGCACAGGACCAAAATACATGGAAACCTAGGATCAATTCTAAGCAAATTGGAATGTATGTGTGTGGTAATGTGTGTATGTTTGGTTTTACACATAGACTTTTTTTCTGCATTCCACAAATTTCAAAGTTTGGCCATTGTTAAGAATAACAGCTGCACACTCTTTTATGCAAGAGAAAAAACACTCACAAAAGGCCACAAAAAATCTTTTGTAAACATCCAACTCTGCTGTATTTAGGATTTTTGCACAGTGAGGTGTTTGCTGCAATGCTAGTTTGCTTTCTCTCTGTTTTGAAATGACTCTAATAACCTAGCATATACAACATTAAATGCAGTTCCAATCAACTGATCCTATACAAAATGTAATAATAAAGAGTGAAGAAGAAAGAATAACCCCCTCCTAATAATCTACCATTGTAGTGATTAAAAACAGTAGCTGCAAGTTTGGTGTCGGGTCTCACCCTCTGCTGAGTTAAGACTCATCCGGCCATGTCTGTTGCCCTGTCTGCTCTCTTGAAGGGAACACTGCCTGTTCTTGCAGATCTCATAACTTTTGTGTTTTGTACATGTGTTTTGCTTTACTTTAGGACTTTATTTTCTATTTGTTGTGTTAAAGGGGAAGTGGCTTACTTCGGTTGCATGCAAAGATCTTCTGAAAAATGATTGTGTCTTCTTAGGATATCGTCTTTTTGCAACATGTGTTGGTGAATAAAGCCCTTATGTCTATATTTCTGATAAAAAACACTGCTTCATTGGAGGTAAGATACTGTGCATGTCGCAATGAGTAAACAAGTAAGTATTTTGGTTAAGAAAGTAGGCACCTCCAGTGTGAAAAAATTAATAAAAACATGTAAAAACTGTAACTGCTCCAAATTGCATCTTTGCATTTGATAGATTTTAGTCCCAGATATATTTGTTTTCTCTTGAATTAAAATATTTTATACTTAAGCTGCTGTTACAAGGTGTGCAGTATATCTTTGCCTGTGTTTTATTTTTCTCAGTGTCTCAGCTCCCTGTGTTTACCAGCTGTTTCCCATCTGCTCAATGACTCACCTGTCTATCCAGTCCAACTGTTACCCAGTGCCCAATCATGCTATTATTCCAACCAACTTGTTTCCCTGTGTTGCACTCAGTTGCACCACTCTTGGCTTGCACATCCTTAGACTTATTTTAACTAGAACGCTTTACAAAGTCTTAGGCTTCTTTGCTGCTTCAGGACATTGAAAAGTTTTTTGCATTAATATTGAATGCTTTTATCCAGAGTCCTCTGTTTTTCTTGACCAAAAAAAGTATCTCTGGGTTTCTGTTCATCTCAAATCTACTCTCTTGTTCTGGCCATCGTGTAACATTTGTCCCCAGACTCTTTCAATTTGAACTTTTTTTGTAGAAGTCATTTTTCCTCAGAAAAGCGATGTAATGCTGTGTCTATGTATTACCTCATGCTATTTGCTCTCAGTTCCAAATGAGAGTGATACTTTTTCTTTCACTCCATGCCTTATTAGTCGATACTCTATGACTGTATACCAACTGAAAAAGGAAGCTCCTGTATAAAACAGAACATCTGCTTTACTACAGAACTCATCCCATGCACATCTTAAATTGTGATGCCAAAATAAACAAGATAATTCTTAAAGAAAAATGTATTTATTTTTG